TCAAGTTTTTTCTTTACTTTATTAAAACTTGTTCTTCGAAACCTTTTTTTTTTTTTTTTTTTGTCATTTAAAAACAGCAATGTTGGATGATGATGCACCATTTAAAATCTGTATCCATTATGTTGGACGTGTTAGAAGACATGTTTCATGTTATGTTGAGGGTGAAACTTGTGATTTAGGAGTTAATGACATTGACAACCTATGTTATTTTGATATCACCGATAAGCTATATGAGGTTAGGATTCAGTCTGTAAAGGCATCATATTACAAAGTTCCTGACTTGCCTTTTGTTAGTGGTTTGTTGCCTTTAACTAGTGATATGGAGATAATTGAGGTTGCAAAAATATTTATGGAGTTAGGAGTTTGTCATGTGTATATGGAGCATGACAACTCTAACATGCAAGGACAAACTAGAGTAGAAACTTTGGTAGGGCCTTTTCCTTATGAGGTAAATATTAATGCTAGTGAAGGATAAAGTAGAATGCACCCTAGGCATGGCAAAATGGCTTTATTTTAGCATGACATACTAGGAAATGATGTAGATGACGATGAGCTAGTGGTTGGTATTAAGAAAATGAATCATAAATATGCTAATTTTGAGACTTTCAATTGTGCAACAAATAAACCACTTGACAAGGCAAACAAAAGGTGATAGAGGTGTCTAAAGGAAAGAAGAACTTGAATCCCTTTTTAAATTCCGACAATGCAAACCAAGCTTTAAAGGGGATTATAATTAGAGATGTTGAAGGTGAAGGCCTTAGATTTGTTGAAAATTTTGATTTGGAGAATAGTGATTCTGAGTTTATTAATAGAGAGAGTGAATATGTTAATAGTAGTGATCTTGGTAGCTACTATATTTATAAATCGATTGAGGACTTTGACTCGTTTGTGAAAGATGATGCATTAAGGATTGCAAGCAGTCACCTTCATTCTGCTCTTAACTATGAAGTTCCACACTTTGAAGTTGGAATGGTTTGTGAAAATGCAATTCAGTTTAAAGAAGCCATTCTCAAATACTCTACTAAAAAACGATGCAATGTCCATTGGAAGAAGAATGAACCAGGAAGACAACAATATGCTTGTGATGTTAAGCATAGGTGTCTTTGGGAAATTTATGTAGGTTTTGACAATGCTAATAACTGTTTGAAGATCAAGACATATTATAAAAAGCATGCATTCTTTAAAACTAATAAGAATAGATTAGTGACATGACCATTCTTATTACATGCATTAAGGACATTAGTGACAAATGCTCCACGCTTGATTAGTAGGAAGCTTGCTAAACATGTTAAGTCTCAAATGGAAGTTGGTATTTTTATATACAAGTGTCAAAGAGCTAAGAAAATTATTAAAGATGAGCTACATGGGAGTTGCATTGAACAGTATAAGCTGTTGAGAGGTTATGGTGAACATATGCTATTTATAAATCATATGTCTACATGTGCTACTGGTACACAAAATTGTCCAAATGTTATGTATCAATTCAAGAGAATATACATGTGTTTTGATGGCTATAAAAGGGGTTGGAAAGTTAGGTGTAGACCAATTATTGGGGTGGATGGTTCTTTTTTAAAAGGTCCTTGTAAAGGTATATTATTATCTACCATAGGGAGAGATGGAGATAATCAAATATTTCCATTAGCTTAGGCTGTGGTTGAAACTGAAAACAAAGACAATTGGTAATGGTTCATGAAGTTATTGAATATTAACATAAAATTTGGTGAAGGAATGGGTTTGACAATAATATCATACATGCACCAAGTAGTAACTAATAATTTGGTACTTAGTTATAACATTTGATTCATTAACTAGTTGGTTATGTCTTGACTTATTTTATTATGCTTTAAGGGAATAATATTTGTAAGGGAAGTTGTTTTTTCATATGCAAAGTATAGATACTATGAAAGGTATCTATATGTAAATTGGGTAAAGATTTAGAAAGGGGAGGAATTTAAAATAAGATTTTAGGCCATTGCTTGAGCTAGCTGGCCAGAGGAGTATGAGCACCAAATGATGTTGTTAAAGAAGTTATCTATGATTGCATGGATGGATTTGTAGAGATATGATCCAAAAAATTGGTGCATACAATTTGTTGATGAAGATCCTTGTTGTGATGTGGTTAACAACATGTGTGAGTTTTTCAATTTTTGGGTTATGGAAACAAGGTACTTGGTTATTATCTCCATGGTTGATTCTTTAAGATCTCAAGTGATGGAGAGAATTGGCAAAAAATATGCATCCATTCCCAAATGAAAAGGTGATATTGCACCAAGGGCTAAAAAGAAGTTAGAGGCCAAGGAGTCATCTTCTTGGAAATTGGTTTGGGATGGAAGAACTGGATTTGAGGTGAAGCATGTACAATTGTAAAACGGTAACAAACATGTGGTTGACTTGATGAAGAGAACTTGCACTTGTAAAGCTTGACAAATGAATGGCATACTTTGCCTTCATGCTCTATGTTGTATGTAGCATAAAAATTTGGTACCTAAAGACTTTGTTGCTGACTGGTACAAGAAGAAGAAGTATGCACTAGCTTATGGCTTTCCTATAAAGGCAATGTGTAGGGATAAGTCATGGCAAAAATTTCATGGTGAGCCTTCGAATCCATCCCCGATTAAACAAAGGCCTAGAAGGCCAAAGAAAAATAGAAGAAAATCCAAAGAAGAACCTAAAAAAGTGTCTAAGGGAGTTATACTCTCAGGGGAAGGAAGAGTCATGACTTGCTTTAATTGTAAACAAGGAGGCCATAACAAATCATGACTCTTTAAATCATAACAAATTAAATAATCAAGTAAGTCATACACTGTTACTTGTTATTAAACTTTTTCTTTAATAGTGTTATGTGAAACGCACTAAATTAAATGTCCATGCATTGTAGACACCTCCAACTACTGCATCAACAAATGGGTCAAAAAGGAGACCATCTGCAACTTATCATCAGAAACCTAAAGTTGTTAGTTGAAAGTCTTATGTTTATTTACATTATTAAGTTAATTTATAATACTATTTTTAATTAACAATTCGTTTTAAATATGTCTATAGGTTAAAACCAATGTGAATGTCAATCCTTCGCAAGCATTAAATGCCCCATCTTGCCTAACATTACTAATTGAAAGCACTGAAAATATTATATCACCCTTTTTCATTTATTTAGTTTTATGCTTTATAATTTATTGTCATTTTAAATAGCATAGTTTATTAATTTTTAATGATAATTGGAGATTGTTTTGCTTGAGCAACCACAGTTTTCATTTACAAATAAGAAAAGAAAAGCAAAGGTTAATTTTGTGAGAGGGAAAAATAAGAAGCAAAAAGAGAAAAGTTCAAACAGTGCCATACAAATCAATGAGCAAAGTGGTGCAATGATTTGGCATATGATTATCCAATTCATTTATTATACTGTGTTATTAAGTTTGGTATGTTAGTGATTTAACTGTACTTATTGATACGCTTAATTATATATAGCTTGGATTGCATACAAATATGACAGTTAGAAAAGTTATAAATGAGCAAATTGCACAAAGAGGCAATGGAGGCCCAGCTCCTTCAACTACAATAAGGGATAGCCCTTTAACTGAGCAAATGAACATTTTTGTGATGCCCCTAACTAGAGATAACATGAGTTTGGCTATTAAAGATAATTTCTAGGTAGTATTTTGAAGCCTTTTAATTATGTTATATTGCTGAAGTTTATGTCTTTTGTGTATTGGAGAATTTATGGGTAGCCCAAATTTGTGTCTTTTGTGCACTAGAGGATTTTTAGGTAGTTGAAGTTTGTGTCTTTTTAGTATTGCAAAATTTTTGGGTAGCTTTTTATTTAGTTATGCTACTGATTAACTGTCATAACTCTTATTATTTATGACAAGGTTTTACTGTGGTGATGAACTATTTTTGGGCATCATTTGTTTTTGTTTATGCACTTTGTGCAAGTGCTATGTTAATTTACCACATTTATTATATTATAAAATAATGTTAAGTTATAAGAAAATATATAAAAGTTTAGGTAAATGTTTATTATTCAGTTACAGTGAAAACAGATGCTTATTTAGTTTTTCTTACATTGTTCAAGCTTTTTGTTGTAAATGGTCATTTACATTGTTACTTGAACATTATAAAAAGTAAAGGCTTATTTACTATAAAAGCATTTTTGTCATTGATAAGGCAAAATATGGATACAAAATGTACAAAAGACATGGTTGCTTTACATTCACACATACAAAGCTCGACATGGTTGCCAATGTCTGCATTAACTACCACCTTCCAGCTTAACAAAAAGAGCAGCTTAACAAAAATAGTTTAAGAATTGGCCATTTTATAGCTGACTATAAACAAATGCTATAATAATCACAACAACAACTAAAACTATAAGCAAAAACTTCTTAATCAACCTTTTCATTGAATTCTCAACTCCAACACAAACACTATCACCCATTGCTTTCATCCTGCACTCCAACTGTCGTGACATTTCATCCTTTAGCATCTTAATACACCTTTCAAAATCTATTTTCCTCAAATCAACTCTCACCTTTTCAATGCTTCCTTCAACATTCCTACACCTCAAATTAGCCTTTAGATTCTCAATGCAATTTTCAATGTGGCTTAGATTACATCCTTGTCCTCTTGGAACCTTTTTCAGTTGAGACTTCAAGCACTCATTTTCCTCTTTCAAATGCTAGATCACATCATGAGCTCTTCTAACTATTTCTCCATCATGCCATTCAAAGAAAATGCATTCACTATCAATTTATCATCATATAAAACAAAAAGAGTTAGGTTTTATAAATAAATTTTTCAAAAAAATTAATGTATACAATACCAGCATATAGATCGAAGGGAACAAACCCCACAATAGCAGCATCCATAAAACCTCCTTCCTGCATTTGGTTCAATCCATCTTGTCATCCTTGGAGAAACAACACCACAGTGACAGAATTGAACCCTTCCTTCATAATTGAACTGAAGTATGAAAAATCCACCTTGCTTCCACTTGTTGCTTCAAAATATTGAGAATGGGATGCCATAGATTGACTCATGTTATCCTAGGTTGTTTCGAATCTCAATTCCCTAACTAAAGATGCTTTCAAGTTCCCACAACCTCTAATTGTTCCCTGAAAGAAACACTAATCATTCCAGAAAGAAATCCTAATTGTTCCTAGAAAGCCATCCTAATTGTTCCCAAATAACTCTAATACCTAATCTCTTTGCTTTCTTTAGGAAGTGGGGCTAAAGGGGGGATCGAGGAAGATGAAGTGGACCCGAGGCTCTTTTCCTTTTATGTTTGTTTTTTTTTTTTTTTTTCTACTTTTTTGGCATCCAAGTGGACAAACCAAATGCAAAATCCCTTGCCACATGGGCATGACATGGCAAATTTTGCCACACAAGTGGGTCTCCTAATGGCAATTAGGTTGGCTGTGAGAATAAGGGTTGATTTGCTTTGATTGCAGAGTTTAGGGGCTTATCTGCATTAATTAAAGTCTAGGGACTTAATAGAAATTCTGGGATTAGTTCAGGGGCTTAACTTATGGTTTTACCTACATTCTTCGGTCCCCATCAAACAAGTAAGGCAAACACGCAAGCGCCTCAGGCCCAAACCCGTTTTAATTTTAAACGCACCCATCAAACACAAAAACCCTCGACGCCCCCCTAAAACCCATCTGTTCATGTAATCCGCCGCGTTGTTTCCTTCCTCCACCTCCGTTTCTTTCTTCATAGATAGCTACCATACGGAATCCCGCCTGGAATCTCCGGCGGAACCCAATTACCACCCAAACCCGCAAAGTCTCATACTGCTGCCGTTCCTTCTTTCCTCACTTCTTTGGTTCTTCCTCTCCTAAAGCACCTATCAACTAGACTCAGATTCTACTATCTCTCTGTCTCCTCACCACTTGGATGCTACCAGGTTTGTCAGATTGGGACATATTGTCCTTTTTTGTGTTACTGTGTGTGTCATCTTCTTTTTGCCTCCTAGAAATTCCTTTGATGTTATTTCTTGTGATTGTTGATCCTAGATTATTGATTTACTTAAATGATTTTCATTCTATGAAAGAAAACTTCAATAACAGTGCAAATTACCAAAGTTTATAGGATAATGGAAGTGATGGTAAATGAATCACGGCATATAATTTTCAGATTTTGATATGTTTTTCAAGAAAGTAGAAACAAGCATCTTGTTTTGATGTTTGTGATCATCTTCTGCCTCCTTGAAATTTTCTTTTTAATGTTTGGGGGGTTTCTCTATCTATTGAAAAATTGGTTTTGCAAGTTTTAAGATTATTGTTTTTTGGGTTCATTACCTTTGCTGGATGAAAGATTTTTAGATAAAAAACAGTAGATAGGATATCTATTTTAATATGATGTGTGAAAAAAAATTGTTATAATGCCTTTTTCACTAAAAAAAATGTATATTTTGTTCATATATTTTGTTGGTGGCTGATTATCTGCTTATGTTCAACAGGTTTTTCAGCTTGTTAATTTTGAACCATGACATTGCTTGATATAATCACGAAGGCTTCAGCTAATACTGAGGCACATGGTTCCCAAACAGAGTACCCAATCATTCTCAATCCAGATGATGTTTTCAACAATCTTAAGACTGAACTTGAAAACCCAGCTTCTTCATCTCTTGTAAGTCCCCTCACTGGATGGGAAATCTCGCGTACTGATGCTGTTATCATTGACTTGAGTAAAAAGTTTGTTACCAAGCTGAAGAGAAAGTTCAAAGACACAAATAATTTTAATAGGGAGGAGTTCATTGGGATGTTGAATTCATTTCTCGAGAAAGTTAGGGAGAAAAGTGGAATTTCAGTTGGGGTTGATTCGAATGATAATAGGTATACTGCAGTTTTGATTGAGAAGGTGGGGTTTTTGATGGGTAGAGATGTGGTAGTTTTGGTTTTGGAAGCATGTCTTAGTTTGGAGATTTGGGAGTTGGTTGAGGCTTTGATTATAAATGGCCATGTTGATCATTCATGTTATTCAAGTTTGGTTCCAGAGCTTGCTGCCAAGAAGAAAACAGATTTGCTTTGTCTTTGCACCAAGCATGCTTCAGATCTAGGGCCGTTAGAGTTGCTTTGCATTTTGAAGTATTTTCTTAATCCATCTAAAGGTGCATATGGTGGTATGGTCAGTGTAAGGAAGGAGTGGGAGAGCCAAGCACTTTTAGCCATTGACAGGGCGGGAGATGAGAAGGTCTTTGGGAAGAAATCACGATTGGCAAAAGAAGCTGCGATTTTGTTGATGATTGCATATGATGGGTTTTCAGATGCTGAACTTTGTTTGCATTATTTGTTGAAGTCATCAAATGTTGATGAAGTTGTACTGGCATATTCAATTGGAAAGTTAAATGGTAAAGAGATGGTGAACTTGATTCGGTATTTGGGAAAATGGTTGAAGAAGTACGAGAGGTTTCCTCAGGCAAATGAATGTCCCAAGGCTTCATCCACTCTAGGCTTGAAGGCTTGTGATTGGGTTCCTAAACTTGAAGATGTTGCAAAATGTCTTGGTATGCTTCTGGATCAGAACTTTTCTTCATTGGTGTTGCATGCGGAGTTTCACGAAGAGCTCAAATCTATTGAGGAAGTTGTTAGTTCTCTAGCCTTCGAAGCAAGATTTTGTTGCTTGATGGAAAATGTTGTTGAGAAGTTGAGAGCTGGGGCGCAGAGTTAGGAACATGTTCCATCCATACTCCTTATCATTTGCAAAATTTTGCCGGAATCTACATGTTCTTGTCATGGTGATCTAGGTTTGTTTGAGTGGATTGAACTTTAACCATCCCAAGGAATCATATGTTTTAACTTTTTTGTGATATTACGAGATTAATTGTTTTTCTCCAGGATTATTATAAGCCAATGTGGACATGAGAAGGTCCCCGGTCCTATGATCTTATTAATGTGTCAAAAGTTCTTGAATCCTGCAGTACTTATATCAAAAGGGCTTCTAAAATAATTTTGCATCGCTGCTTTTTGTTGAAATTTGAACATGCATAATAGAAGATGTCACATCAGTCATATATGATATATTGTTGTCCCAAGTCTAACAAGATATTTGGAACTTCTTGCCTTAGAAGCTCGACCTTGTGTCTTTATGGGATGAAGGAAAAATATGTATTATCTGCAAGCCTTTTTTTTTTTTTTTTAAAGAAATTCCTCTTGATCTAAATGCTAATAAGCATGGTTACAACAATAGAGTGGCAAGAATTTTTTTCTTTTTTTTGGTCATGACATGCAAAATTATACAGAAGATTGCATTCTGAACTCCAGCTGCTGGAAATGTAAGTGAAAATCAGCCAGCTAGAGGTGAGCAGAACCGACAAAAGAAACAGATACCCAATTCTAAACTGCAGTTGTTAACTTGTTAGAAACCTTCCGTAAGTGCAAAAACTCGGCCAGCTAAAGGTGATGACAATGTGGAGACTGCTTTCCTGATTTCCTGAAAAATAATTCATGCATATTAGCTTTAAACCATAAACCATGATAAGAAAGATATGGCAAAAAAGACAACATGAAAAGAAAGATGCAACTTGAAAGAGCACATAACAAGCCTAAATAATAAAACTCAGAAATTGAGGTTGATCCTTGAACTCCACTCATCAAGAGTTCAGCTCATAATCAACAATTTTTGATTCAGGGAGGCAGAGCTTAGGTTATATCTCTCCCAAATGAAAAGATTAGGTTCTGCCCTGGAACACAAGCTGATATTACCCTCAAGTTATCGCTGAGCTCTGCAGACAAACATCTAGACCATGGTGAATATGAAAGACAACAGGATACATACCTCTAATGTGTAACGAGCTGAAAAGTGTATCAAAAGTATTGCTTTGTTTTCAAACCTGTCTGCATGATTGATTATCTAGAGATGCATCAACATATGACAAAAAACAAACTGTTAGGAGTCCACGAGAAATCATGTATAATTAATTATTAACATGAAATGTTGCAGACTTGGAGGATTTCCAAAGACATGGGAGAGCTTACCTCAGACAGGTGAGTGTGTCCATAATCTCTTGCATGCTCCACTGGCACAGAATTATCAATGAAGGTGCACTGCAGGACAAGGCAGGATTAAAGAGCTAAGGTTAACAATACATTATATTAAGGTATTATAAATTGATAAGCTAGTGAGTTATAAAAATAAAGACTGTTAGTCACACACCTCAACAACAAGAATCCTCGCCCTTAGAACATCAATATTGGTTTCGTCTACCATAAAGTCAGACATGGTATCCCCTGTAAAAGCAACTTCAGGTGCAGTCACAGTGTTTGTAATCTGCAAATATGCAAGGTGAACCTAGTTACGTACAAGCTTTAAAATGGAAGACAGTGCAACAAGTGTAAAATCTAAAAGATGTGACCATAAAGATAAGAACTTTTAGCAAACTAGAATTTGACTTAAAGACTATCCCTAAAATGCTCTGGTGTGAAAATTATGAAAGTGAATCACTTCAGTCTTTTTACTTGCTTTGTTTACCAGATTGCAAGGTCTAGAAATGCACATGAATTCGTTTTGGGGTGTGCAAAACAATACAATAAAAGAAAACGTAATTATGCAAATTGATATCAAATTTATTCATCCTTTTACTGGCCAAATTTGAGGATTTCAATTATTCTTATCCTCTTGCGCTTGAAAGAAGTTCTTTGCATCTTATTGGATTTTAATTTAAGATTTAGATTGCAGTAAAATCCATAGAAAATGTTTTAAGCTAAATGCAAGGCTTGATTGGTAAATGTTGGATTCCACATAGACTACAAAGTGATGATATATTACTACATCCAGCATTGCTATAATCCTTACACAGCCAAAAGAAAATCAGATAAGGAAAGAAACTACTTCCATCAATGGCATAGTTGCACATAGAACAGCCAGTAAAGAAGTCAGAAAATAATATAAGAAAAAAAAAGGCTATCAAGCATAACTAAAATTCTAAATGTCAAGACAGACCTCCACACCTGATGACTTCAAGTTCTTGATCTCATTTCCAGAAAGACCAAGGTATTCTTGCTTGAGTTTTTGTTTCACAGAATAAACTATATAACCCTGCACATAATGCGCTATGCTGGTCAGCTGTTACTTAATAGATAGTACATCAAGGGGGTGCTAAAAGAGAACCATAAGAACCATCTAGGTTCACCTGGCTTTGTATGACATGGTAAGTTCTAAAAGCTTTTACTTTCAGGTCTCTTCTCAAACAGAACTCTTCTCCTGTAAGTCATACGCATAAACTAAGAAAAAGATGCTAAGTTATTTGAAAAAGACAAGTCTTTCACTGAAACACATTAATAAGATAAAAGTTTTGTATTACCGACATCCAAGCCAATCAGATTATGCTTCAGCTCTGACTTGTCCAAATTTCTATGCACCTCAAACAGTTTCTCTACATCTTCTTTTATAGCAGTTGGAACAATAATTGTTGGGGGCTTCATGCCATATAAGCCCCGGGTTGCAACATACATTGGCAGGCCACCCTGAAAAATGTAAACTCTGTTATCTAAAGTAGTTGTCAAGCAAGAATGATAGCAATAAGCATTCCTCTTAAGGAAAAATTATTCCTAATTTCCTAATAATCTGGAATGAAAATCAATTTAAGAAAACGGTTGCAACTCCTAATTCATGAATTACTGAATCCCAATTGAAAAAAGAGTCTTATACAAGGTAAACCTAAGGCGCCCACTTTGGAAAAATTCACAAAATCACATAAAACCAGCATCACGAATGACACCCAAGTTCTAAATTCAACAAAAAAAAAATCCAGGGTTCGTGAATAAGTCAATTGCCAATCCTATCTAAGAGGCATAATCTCAATACCCATAAGCAGAAGAGAACCATATGAACTACTTAACAGTAAAGACAGTAAGGAAAAGGAAGACTGACAATGTGATCCATGTGGCCATGAGAGATGAAGAGAAAATCTTGAGAAATGGCGCGTTGTGGGCATCGACCAATATCGAAGGCTAAGTTAAGAGTGGGGAAGATGATGCAAGTTTCGTGCCCTCCTATGGACAATCCCTCAACTGGGTACCTATCAATTTGCATTCCCTTCTTGTTGTTTTTGTTCTCCTCATTTGCTGATTCTGGATTCTGCTTTCCATTTCTTAGAATTTCAGAGTCTTGGGTTCTTTGATCCATCGAACAAAGACGTTGGAGGAAGAAGATTGTCTCAAAGTTGAGTTTTTCTTGCAGAAATTTGGGTGAAGAGGAAAGGCGAGAGGTTCTGGTTGGGTTTCGGCAGCTGCTGTGCATCTTATACGGCGTAGTTTTAAAAAGCAAACTACGCCGTTTTGGCACTAATCGCCCCATACCCCTCTTTCTCCGCTCAAGAACGCATTCAATACGTCATCCTTCATCCTTCATCCTTCATCCTTCATCGATTCCCTGTTCAGCCCCCGCGAAACCATTGCCACCATTGGAGAATATCCGCCGGAGGAGGCCCTTGGTCTACCTTTTTTCCGGCTAAGATTCATCGCCTGCAGGTCAGTTTGAGGCCATGACTGCTCAATTTTTACTTTGTATAGGCAGGATTTAATCTTGACATGGGCCAAAAAAATTCTTTTCTTTTTAATGTATAGGAAGTGTTAGCTACTGATGGCAACAGCTACATATCCGCCGCCGCCACCATTTTACAGGCTTTACAAAGATTATCTGCAAAACCCCAAATCTGCGCCGGAGCCACCGCCACCTGTTGAAGGGACTTATGTTTGCTTTGGTGGCAATTATACTGTGAGATCTCCTTTTCTCTTTCAATTTTTATAAAAAATCTTACATGATTACTATTGGGTTAGATTCCTGAAATTGCCACTTTGGATTATGATCATGTATGCAATTTTACAGTGAACTTCGTTGATTTAGATAAAATTTTACCATATGTGATGTTTAATTGTACATTAGAGTTTTAGTTGAAAAACAAGTATACGGGTAGAAATGGATACTCATTTTTCAATTTTGGTGCCTGATGATTTTAGACTGATGATGTGCTTCCAAGCTTGGAAGAGCAAGGAGTGCGGCAATTGTATCCAAAAGGGCCTAATATTGGTAAGTTTATCCCTGCTCAAGTTTTTTCTTTACTTTATTAAAACTTGTTCTTCGAAACCTTTTTTTTTTTTCCAAATGTGAGATACTATTTAAATAGTTTTTTTTCTTATTGTATGAGGATAGTGACTATTGGATTCGTTAGTTTGGGGTTTATATAAAAATAGCTTGAGTGATCAAAAACTAAAATGAACTAGAATGCAAGAATATAGTGGATATCAACTCTAAGCTGGAGTTGTTGTAACTTTAGAATTTAAACCACAACCTTCATACAACTGAAAAATCTAAAATTGTTTTAACTAATTGGGAGAAATTCTCTTCTCTTGAAAACTTTCATGATATATTGTTAGGGCCACATGGTTTGGTAGTGTTTTGTTAACAGAAGAAAAATAAGAAAATAAAGGCAAGCAGAAAAAATAAATGACAATTTTTTGTATGTATAAGCTGATGCTATGGAGATTTATTGTGTGGTCTGCTAGACTTACGTTTCTGCATTCTCTTTTCCTTCATTGTACATCTGTAAAATATTAGAAGCAGTGAGTGATTGGTTGTTGCTCATAAATAGCTGGTAGTCAATATCTCTTATCAATTTTCTTGTTTACTACATGTTATTGATGTAATGGGATGTTTGCTCTTTGTTGCTATTTTCTTACAAACATTTTGACAATATTTTAGATTTCAAAAAGGAACTCAGTGCACTTAACAGAGAACTGCAACTACACATCTTGGAGCTTGCTGATGTTCTTGTTGAGAGACCATCACAGTACGCAAGAAGAGTGGAAGATATATCCCTTATATTCAAGAACTTGCACCACCTTCTCAATTCTTTGCGTCCTCATCAGGTGAAACACTATTTGGTTCTCTATACATCCTAGTGGACCTACTCTTTGATCCATGTTGGAGGATTCGTTTGATTACATCTTGGATTTTCTTTTTAATTGTTTCCTTTTATTTTGCAGGCTAGAGCAACAGTAATTCACATTTTAGAACTTCAGATACAGCGGCGTAAACAGGCTGTGGAGGATATTAAGAGGCATGTTACTTAAAACATTTTCTAAATTTCTAGAAACTATAAAAAATGGAACTTTATGCCTTTCTCTTTATTTTTAATTTTTGTTTCCTTTCTTAGAGCTTATGAATTGAGAATTTCTTGATGAATAGATGGTGACAAGCAAGGTTGTTAAAATCGAGATTTTACCTAA